GAAATAGAGAGAAAAGAGAGCAGTAGAGAGAGAGAAAGAGAGAGAGACACAGAGAGAAAGAAAGAGAGGACAGAGAGAGACAGATATAGAGAGAGAAGGAGAGAGATCAGTAGAGAGAGAAAGAGGGAGAGAGACACAAAGAAAAACGAAGAGAGAGACAGAGAAAGAGAGAAAAAGACAGAGCTTAAGAGAGAGAGAGAGAGAGACAGAAAGAGACAGAGAAATAGAGAGAGAGGAGAGAGACACACAGAGAGAAAAAGAGAGAGACCAAGAGAGAATGAGAGACAGAGAGAGAGAGAGTTCAGGTGTTGATGATGTCTGAAGATGTTTTCTCTGTAATTCACTCAGACTGAAGTGCAGCAGCAGCAGCAGCAGCGTTTCGCTCTGCAGAGTTAAATCTTATACAGTCTTATTCATCATATAGATGTTCAGACTTTATACAGTTCAAAAAATGATCACTGTATGGATTCAATTTAATGATGTCACACATTTCCATTCAACCCAACAGAACAGAAAACAGAACCGAGCCAGCACATTCAGAGAGTTAGTGTGGGGTGTGAAATCTTATGAGCTCCACCTTCAAAGCGTAACTCTGTTTGTACTGAAAGTTATGATGCTGCATTGAGTGCATTAAATGATGTCTAGCTGAGAGTCCAGCTGTCTTTATTTACGGCTGTTAGACATCACATTACCTTTATTCACCTCAGCTCAGATTCAGCCGACAATCGACATATTTGAACTAAAAGACACTTTGACACGAGTTATAAAGGCTGTGACTGAGAAATATCAGGTGCCTAATGTTTTTTTGCCTCTAAAATTATAAATTCTATAGTTATTACGTATTATTATTATGTACTCTAATGATTATATTTACACAGGTATTATATTATATAGCTACATAACTAAATGTATTACATTTATTTACATACTGCTGCTGTCAGAGCAAAACCTCATATCTCCAAACTGGTAACTTTACAAGAGAAGGAAAAAAGATACTTTACTTTTAATGTAAGTCTATGGAACCAGTAATAAGTAATTTTGGTCCATTTCTTTTGGTCCATTCATCATTAAATTTACACACAATGTAAAGGGCAACAGGCATTTTCAAATGATGTCAAAAGCTGAAAAACGACAAAAACGGAGATATGAGGACTAAACTTTTCTCTATTTTTTTGTAGTAACAGCCTTTACACTGTGCTATGATTAATGGACCAACAAAACTGCTCCAAAATGACTTAAGAAAATGTTTCATTGTTCATTGACTTCCATTCAAAGACAAGAATATTCTCCTTTCATGACCACCATTTTGGAGATACAAGCTTTGGTCATTATATTATCTTATCTTATCTTATCTTATCTATCTTATATTATATTATATTATATTATTTGCCCCACGACCCAGAAGGATAAGCAGCTTAGAAAAATGTGTGTGTGTGTGTGTGTGTGTGTGTGTGTGTGTGTGTGTATTACTTGCAAATTATATCGTCACAGTGGTCATTTATTTTTCATTATTTCCCCTACATTGTAATGGTCATTATTTAAATAAACCACTGCTTCCTCCTCTTTTAGAGGCACCTAAAAGAAGATAATTCTTTTATTCTGGGTTTAACGTGGCCTTCCTGCTCTTGCAGAACATCGTCAGAGTGTCAAATAGTTACGTCATGTGTACACTGCACCTGCGTGACGAAGCCTAACATGTTTGTTTTTTGACAGCATCTGTTCTTCTAGTTATGCTGGTGATGCATCGTTCTCAGCCACAAAAGCAGAAAAAACGAGGCTGTGGTGAAGCAGCACAGGCTGGATTATCACAGCATCTCCCGCGGTGCTGATTTCAACACGGCGAGCTGAGTGTGTTTTTCCCCCTGAGCTTCAAGTCGTGACTTGTGACTTGGACGATATCTCCACTAGAGCCGCTTCAATAAAGGACCTTGACTAATCCTGAATAACTCGTTTAGAAGTAGTGCTCTGTACACAGAATAGAGGTGAAGGCTTGGCCTGTATTCAGCAAACACCCTGAAACCAGATATGAAATAGCCAAGCAACATAGACTGAGACGTTAAACAAGCCTTAATGCAATGCAACACCAGTGTGAAGGCAGCGAGGGCCTGGCTCAATCCACACTGATCCACTTTACTTACTGCTACCTGTACATGCAGGTCGGGAAACCGGACGCTGTAGTGTCCCGTATCACACACTTTGGCTGCTGGCCCACATCCAGAAAAGAAAACATTACAAGATGACTTCGTATTTTCCCTTTGATTGTGAATATTATGCCATATATCACAGAGGGAACTCTGACTTAAAGGGGAATTCCACCAACTTTTTTAAATTTCTGCTTAATTGAATCGTTGAGATGTAGGCAAAGTCAAGATGTGATGAAATGTGAAAGAGAAATTTAGCTCAGATATCTTTACAGTGATGGTGAAAGCCATATCCAAAACCACCAGTGAACCCACACGTGTCTGCTGAGTTTATATATGGAATGTTGATGTTAATGATGATGGCAAAATAGTGATAAATCTGAAAATAAAAAGTTTTTTTGGGTACACTTTTTCCATTCAGCGCCCTCCATGTACCCCTCTGCCATAAAGGCATCTTGAAAAAATACCATTTAGGCCAAATCCTCCTCTCAAAACTATCAGCAAACATTGTTTCAGGCATCTGGCAGCATATTCTGAATTATTTCATGCAATAACTTTTGTGTGGTAGCTTTTAGAGGGCTTAAAGTTCTTCAGACGTCTGGCTCCTGTCACCACCACTGTGAACAATTCAGTAGGTAAGTTTAGAATGGAACATTTAACACCAAACCACTCTGAAACTTTGGAAATTTGGAAAGTGTTGGATTTCCCCTTAATATAGGATTATTTAGTTTTTGCATTAAATAGCAGAGTGTCTTAATGTTTGCATGCATTTTAGTAAGTATTTTTTTTTCTAGACAGATGTTGCTGCCACATGTGCTTTAGCAATATTAGGACTTGGGGCCTTCTTTAGGCCTCATAATAAATAAACACAACTGGAAATGTTTATGGAGGTCTACATTGATTTGGCTATTCATTTATTTTCTCAGAACATTTAAAATCTCAAAACAGGGTTTGTGCCAAGTCAATATGTTTCATTGACAGACACTTCTGTAAAAATCGTTCTGCCATTATACTGCGGCTATAGCCTTTACTAGCCTTCAGAAACAGCCCTTAAAGGTGAGGCTGTCTCTTACTGCCAAAGAGAAAAAACTCTAAAGGCATGTGTGCCCTTATTATGTTCAAAGGCATAAGTAACCCTGTTTTAATATAACCTATATTAACCTACAGAAACAGCCCCAAAGCCATGAGATACATTATTACCAAAAACAAACCTTAAAGTTGTAAAGTTGTAAGTAGCCTAATACCAGCCTACCAAGCCCTTATGACATGAGAATCCTTTACAGTCTTACAGAAACAGTCAAATAAACGCAAGAAAAATTCAGCTTAGATGAACAAATCAACATCTGCTTCCACTTTTTACAGTGTAGAAAGAGCTGAATTAGCACAAATAACCCTGACTAGCTTATATAAACAGCCTTAAAAGTGCAAGTAGCTCTTACTACCCTTCCAAAAGAGCCCTGTGTGACAAATATTTGTACTACCCCACATAGACAGTCATAAAAATGCAAGCAGCTTTTACCACCTTGCAAAAACAGTCCTAAAGGAATGAGTAGCCCAGTAACCCTTACTAACCAACAAAAACAGCCCTGAAGGTGTGAGCCCTTATTAGCCCGCAGAATAGTGCTAAAAACACAAATAACCCTTATTGGAGTTTTAAAAAAAAACAGCCTCAAAGGCATGAGTAGCTCTTCCAACCCCAAAACAGCCTTAAACATGTAAGAAATATTTATACTACCCCACAGACAGAAACAGCCCTAAAAGTTCAAGTAGCCTTTACTATCTTACAGAAACAGTCCTAAATACATAAATAGCCCAATATCAGCCTACTGAAATAGCCTTAAAGGCATGAGTAGCTATTACTAACCTACAAAAATAGCCCTGGAATTGTGATTCACCCTTAATAGCCAAAACAGCTCTAAAAACACAAATAATCCTTATTAGAGTTTTTTTTTTGTTGTTTTTTTTTGTTTTTTTAACAGCCTTAAAGGCATGAGTAGCTCTTCCTACCCTTCCAAAAGAGCCCTAAACGTGTAAGAAATATTTATACTACCCCACAGAAACACTCCTAAAAGTGCAACTAGCCTTTACTGTCTTACATAAACAGCCCTAAATGCATGAGTAGCCCAATATCAGCCTAATGAAATTGCCTTAAAGGCATGAGTAGCCCTTACTAACCTACAAAACAGCCCTGGAAGTGTGATTAGCCCTTAATAGCCTACAAAGCAGCTCTAAAAGCACAAAAAAAACAGTCCTAAGGACATGAGCAGCCTCTATTACCGTACAGAACAGCGTAAAAGGCGAGCACTCCCTTACAGAAGACCTGGAGGTGTGAGTAGCCTTTACTATCCTACAGAAACAGCCTTGGGAGGCAGCACAAGCCTCATTCATGTACTGTACAAGCAGCCTGCTGTTTTACCAGCTGTACACGACGAGTTCAGGAGGGTCCCTCCTTGTTCTTTCCAATTAGAAAATACTCCTTTCGCCCTTAATGTGTCGCCTGCTGTAAAGCGGGCTATTGTTCAGGCTCCCACAGGCAAACAAATGAACAAACAACACACACCTGCTTTGGCGATTTGTCTTGCACGGGCATGCAAATACCATTCAAATGATAAAGCCCAAACAAGCAGCTCGGTGTATCTGGGTGGAGGCGGAGCAGCCCGGCTAAACAGTCATGATTGCAATAGCGATTGTTCTGTGTGTATAGATTCACAGCATACAGCCGAGCCGGGGTGCCAGCGTGTTATAGTGGACCAAGCCAACGTGGTACGTGGTCATCCAGAAATGCCAGACAAACCCTTTATTGTCCTCCCCTCCCAACTTTCTCTTTCAGCCGCTCGTGTAGGTAGGAATCTTACTTACAGGCTCGTGGAAGCGGCTAACAGGTGAGTCACTTGTCCAGCACTATTCCCAGCACGATTTGCCCCTCTTCACGCCCTTTCCAGTTTCGGTGGGGTCCCCCTGCCTCAGCCGCGCTGCATCTCTCACGGACGACGACGTGGGTTTCTGTCCAGCACCACACACTTTGAACAGCTCCACTGACGTCATTGCCCACAACCCCACGGCCACGCCTTTTAGATAACGAGCCTGGCCAATGAGCGCACGGGCCAGCAAACCCTCCGCTCGCGTTCAAAAAACCCCACCCAAGACGCCAAGCCTCGCATCTCTACAACCTCGGATCGGCGAGGCTGAAGTTGGCTTCCTGTTCGCCCGCTTCTTTTTCGAATTTTTCCCGTTCTACCTTAAATAATGCATTTAAATGGTGCATTTAAGGTGGAACGTCAACCTTAACATTTCACAACCCTTTGGATCAACGAGGCTTCCTGTTCGCCAGCTTCTTGTTCAGATTTTCCCGTTCCACCTTAAATGGTGCAGCATTTACGGTCTGGCTGCTGACACCATTTAAGGTGAAACGGGAAAATTCGAACAAGAAGCTGACTTCAGCTTCGTCTCGGACCACACGAAGAAGAATAAAGGCTACCCGCTTCTCCTTTTTAGTTAGATGGACCTAGACACAATACAGGGACAGGCAAAACGCGTCTGCTTTGCATACATAAAGTCGCCCCACTATGAATTCAGGTTATACAGGCACATAAAAATAAGTTAAACACATTAAATTCGCCAGGATATAACAGCGCAGCGTGATACAACGAAAAACTCCAATTCCCATAAGGCACTGCCACCGAGTTGTCCTGTTTCCATAGTAACCCCCTCGCAGTCAGGTCCTCAGTGCAAAACTCAAAACTCGCCTTGCTAAGTTGAGAAGGTTGTTAAATGGTCAGCTAAACTGGGCCAACTAGCTGAAAAAGACGAAGCTGTAAAATATATAAAGGCCAAGGTGAGCGAACATGACTGAATATTCAAGAAAAACAACATATTTGTTTATGTAGTTGAGAGAATTATTATGCTAACAAAGCGCAGCAGACGTTTACGCTGAAGTTAACGGACAAGCTGTTGGCTAACCAAACATTTATTTATTTACATGTGAGCGGAAAGGCTATTATGAGCTCAAAGCAAACTAATGAGCTCTGTCTTTGTATCTTTATGCATTTTCCGTATTTGTTTATGTAACACCAGCATATAATGTTCAAATGTCGTATTTTATTTTATAGGACTGTACCTTTTTGAAACATCTTCATAGCCAAAACTCCTCAGTGGAGAGGTGGGAAGCTTAGCTAGAGGAACCAAAAACCATCCTCAGGTAAAAGGGTTGAACTGCAGGAGAATAATGACTTAGGTAGAAATATAAAGGTTAAAACATGCTCAGCTTAGTTTGGTTCACACGATGTACGCATTTAGGTTATATAGGTAAAATTAAGTAAAGATAAGTGTAAAGATAAACAGACTCATTCAGAGCGGTTTGATGTGAAACGCTCCGTTCTAGAGAAACTTACAGTCAGAATTGTTCACAGTGGTGGTGATAGGAACCAGACGTCCACCTCTAAAAGCTACCCTCACAGAAAGTTATTACATGAAATGGTCATGAACACTCAGCCTGTTGTCCGAGACATTGTTCTACGACAGAGTTTTGTGATAAACGTTTTGTCCTAAAATGAGTTTTAATCCATTTTTTAATCTGTTTATGATGGAGGGATACATTAAGGGGGTTCTAAGGAAAATTGTCCACCAAAGAAAAACGTTCTGTTCAGATTTTCCACTATTTTACCGTCATCAGTATTAATAAAAAAGTCAGGAGACACGTGCAGGTTCACTGGTGGTTTTTGACACTAAATAAAGTGCTTCCATTTGTGTTGTAGTCGTTGTAACACCTGGTTCCTATCACCACCACTGTAAAGAAATCAGTCTGTAAATTTATCTACAAATGAACAATTTTACATCAAACCACTCTGAATGATGTGTTTACATCTCAACCACTGAATTATGCAGATATTTTGAAAAAGCAGTGAAATTCCCCTTTAAGTGCTGTTTGTCTCTTTTTGGTAGGCCTTTGTTTTAATGTAAAATGATAATAACTAAAAGTGAGAGGCCTGAGCAACTGACAACCTGTTTAAGAGCTGAATAGGATGAGAATTTATATAAAAAAAAAAATCATTTATTCAGTATGAGTGACAAAATGTAAGATAAATAATTATATAAATAAATAAATAAAGCACATGGGCATACATTACCAACATGAAAATACTCAGAAAAGTACAAATTACTTAAATTACTTAAACGAAGAACACGAGTAAAAGTTCAATATCATGACATTTTTGGAATATATTGCCATAATATGGTATTGGATGATATTTAACTTTACTTTAATAAAATTAACAGCCCAGTTCTTCATGAGTGCTGGCACTGTATACCTGACATAGCTTGTTTTTTTCCATTTTCTTAACTTAAAAGTACACCAAAGAAAACCTTACAGAATATTATAAATGTAGACAGAAGCCAAATTTTCAAAAAAACTTTCTATTTCTTTAATTTCTATGGACTTTTAAGTTCTGTACAAATCCATATAACCCATTAAAGAACTGATGTTCATTACAGTGAACTGTGAGGTCCTGGATGCCAATGAGTAAATACAATTTTAAAAACTAAAAATAAGCTGCTTGGCAAAGGAAACACCACTAATTTATGCAAATAATGCTCGTTATCTGTCAAATATATCGCTCAGAATATCTGTCTATCTTTCTAGGACTCATAAACTCTGGCAAAGGGATGGACGGTTGTGTGGTTCGTCTCCACAGTGTGTCCTTTAAGTCCAGGGTGGAGGGCAGTCATGAGGCCTTCACTGCCCAGCCCATTAGGATCAACTTCCATCAGCTTCTGCGAACAAGCGATGCCCCAGAGCTTCTGCCTAAGGTGGCATTTTAAACCCATTTGTCCTAAATGTATTCAGATTCTGTTTTTATCCTAGTTCTGACTCTTGTGACGTCTCACCTTTAATGCAAAACTTACATTCCACGCAAGCCGCTTCAGCTTTAAAGGTAATGAACGTATCTCTCTGTCTAAGAAATTTGAGAGCAGTCCAAGCCCTGCTAGCAAATCCTCCTGGGCCTTGCTATTTGGCACCTCTGTAAGAAATATTGCTTAGGGGGAACTCAGATGGGAAATGTTGCGTTCACAATAACAAATAGCTTACCACACTGCACAAACATCTCTAGGCATGTGCGTGTGTGTTCATTTGCACTCATTTTCTCGTGTGGGAGGTGGGCCTACTGCTATTTTAGTTTGCGATTTCGCCTTGGTCCCACTCGTTTCAGTTAAGCATTCTGTGTAATTTAGAATGCTAAGGCTTTACTTACAGTGTTTATAGAAATAAAGAAGAGATGAATAGTGTAAAATACACTAAGAGTCCAAAGCGTACAGCCCTAGTAATTAGGCAGTTCTGCTACTTTAAGGTGCATCCATTGCTGACACAAGTGTCCACAGCTTGTATAATCTCCATAGAAGAGCATTGACTAATAAAATGGCACAGTACCTGACCTCACTAATGGTCAATCAGATCCTCATAGCAATGTTCCTGCATTCAGGCTAAACCCTTCCCAGAAGGGCAGAGGCTGTCAGTTGTCTAAAAACTTTGGACATATAGGTTAAAAGGGTAATAGGGTGTCAGTATGCAAAAGTTTTGGCACCCCTGGTCAAATTCCATCTGTTGTTGATTTTCTGAGTGAAAATAAGTGAACACATCCTCTACAGAGAACAAACCTCTGCACGTTTTAATGCCAAATTTCTATAAATTAATTTGACTTATTGGATAAAATAAAACATAAAATGTGGCCTGTGCAAATGTTATGGAACATTTTATGTATTTTGTTTTTTTAACGTGTTAAACTCAGCAAATAAATGGAAATAATGCATTAAAATGAGCAGAAATGTTCATATTTAAGTTTCCTATAGAGGATTGTGTTAACTCCTATGCACAAAACGTAATTTGACTGGTAATTTTCAAACTTTTGCATACAACAGTATAATCGTCTTCGTGAAGCTTCGAAAAGAATGTTTTTAATGATGTTGCTAGTTGCTAACTCAGCTTAGTCCTGTGCATATGCAGCAGTGTTTGTATTCAAGCAGGAAATGCAGAAAGCCTACATACACCCACGTACACATGGTATTATACGAACAGCACAGTCTGATTTATGATAGGAATATTAAGGTGGCATTTCAAGGCAAAATCTGAACACTTATTCTGTAGTTTTCCATTGCTTTCTCTCTTTTTATCCTCTCTCCCTCATACTCCACTCTTTCATTATCTGTTTCTGCAGCCCTTTTACTTTAAATCATGACTTCAGAGTAACATATACATCATATCTCCACCAATGTATTTTGTCTGGGGATATTTTTCCAGTCTTACTTCACATTATCGCTGCCACTGGTCCCCTAACTCTCAAGCATACACGCACACACAGGTATTCAGAATCAGAAATATGATCCCACAGCCCGTGTGATTATGAATATAGGTCATATTTCAGCCTGGCGCTTGTCTCATATTGCCCTGGATCTCTCCCTCTTAATTGATTGGATTTTTCAGTGGCTGCCAAACGGTGCTGTGTAAGCAGGCTGATCCTCCGCCTGTCCTGCTGCTGCTGGATCACACCAGACCTGTTCTATACCAGCCCCATCACAGAGTTTAATAAGAGCTTGTGAAACACAGTACAGTACAATACAAAAAGACCACCTTTCAGTTATTTAATTTCCAGTCAAAACAGCGATTAAGTTATTCATTTTTCAGTGTCAGGAAGCAGAGAGCATATATTTAACAGAAAATTAGAAGCACAGACGTCTCATCTGCTATATATAATAACTTTTTTTTAATAGTTAGCGTGTTCACTCTTTACCTTTATTACATCTTTCACAGATCTGTGGGATATTTTTCCAGACCTCCAAAGTTCAGTCTTAGAAGCTGGTTGATCATTTTCTGAAGGAATCAAATACATTCAGTGGTGTTGAGGTCTGGACTCTGGGGTGGTCAGTCCATTGTCCAGCTTGTTTGTTTGCTGTGTCCGTCTCCTTTTCTCAGTGAGGTTCTTCTTGACAGCTACACATCCTTTCAGACCCACAGCGCTGAGTCGTCTTCTCACAGTGGAAGGATGGACAGAAACACCTGTGGATGTTTTCAGATCTGAAGCAGCTTGATTTTCTCCTCTCTCTCAAAGATGAAAGCTTTAAGTGCTGTTTATCTGCTGGGGACAGTTTTGGTGTCTACCAGGTCTTCCAGGTGGTTGTTAGGAGTCACATTTTCTCTGTAGCGTTTAATAATTTTTGCAACTCCAGTTTTGGAATTTTTGTTACTTACTTTACTTTGACTTTCTTCTTCCTTATGCAAGTGGATTATCTTTTATCTTATCTCTCACAAATGCCTCCTGAAAAATCTAAATTCTTGTACTTAATACTTGTTTTTTTTTGGGAAGTTTAATAAGTGAAAGGTGGCCTCAGACATTTTTTTTGAGCAAATAGAGGTGAAATCTGAGATATCATGACATAATGAATAATTTCCAGAAAATTCATAATCTGATCTTTGTGAGGTCAGAGATAAACACCCTGGACACATAAGCACACACACACACATATGTACCCACACACTTACAGACACACACACAAAGAGTGTTTACCTGTGTTCTTCCTTCCCATAGACAAATACATTTTCTGTCATTTCTGTGTTGGTTGTGGGAAAATTATTCTATGTGTTTGCTGTGTCCACAAATGTATTATACACAGTTTGCTTGAGTGTTTATTTAAGTGGGTGTGCTTAGGGATTATATTATAAACAGAATGTATGCATGTAAATGCCCACTGATATCTGGTGTTTTGTAGGTGAAAAATCAGGATGTTTTGATGGCTGTGGTGGCGCTGTTGGATTCAACGCTGCCTGATGTTGGGTCTCAGGACATCCATGAGACAGTGCACAGTCCAAGATCAAACACCATTATTCTACTACGAGACCATGCAGGTGTGTGTCCATACATACAATCTCCAAACTACTAAGGACATCTATTTTAAAAACACATTTTAAAGTACTAGTATTCAAATATCCAGCAGTAAAATATTTAATATTATCATGAATAGAAAATAAAAACACAGTTAATTTTTTTTTTCACATACAGCTAAGTTTACGAGATACAGTATTAGCTCCTTGTGTCCCTAAAGTCTCTGCAGATCTGCACACAGGCTTAGTCAAGTTTTACAGTCTGACAGTAATAATTGTGGAGCGATGTTAATCCAGTACGAATCTGCAGTGTGACAGTCTGACAGTGGAGTAAATGGCCTTCTGTAATTGGCTGAACATGGTATTCCCTCAGTAATAGTAGTCTTGTTCAAATCCCCCTCACACTGATGGAATAATAAAACCTGCTAATATTCACTGCCGTGCAGTGTTGTTATTGTTATTGCGGGAATTATACAGATGCTTTATCCCAAACCAAGTAGCCAATCAAATTCCATGCATAACATTAGACAGCTTCCTATAGGGAACCTTATCCAGCTCCTGTAGTGCTTTAATCTCTCTCTCTTTGTAATGTTTTCAGATGTGATTGAGGAGTATAGGGTTAGATCTTATCCTGGCAGCCAGGGGGAGCTGGTGAGTCCTAAGCTGCCCGAAGCATCGAATGATCATCAGAGTGATTCGTACCAGCTTTCTGAACTCTACAGTGAATCTGAGGACAGCTCGGAGGAGAGCTGTGGGTCTGAGGAAACTGATCACAGGTTAGAGCTGCATTGCTAAATCGCATTTCAGAGCTGTTTCCTATCAATTCTCAGTCTAATTGCTGCTTTTTTGTTGACGGGAGGGCACCCCCTGCAGGACCCAGATGAAATTTAATTTTGAATCTCTTACGCTCCGTGTCAGGTCACAAAGGTGTGGCTATATGTGAATAAGTGGATATCCAAACTTAACATTCTTTTACTTAATCGAGTATTTGAACTAAGCATTTGTAATTTGGATAAATGACAGATCTGAGCCGGACTGTATTTGAAATAAATCCAACCAAAAAAAGATAAATTTGTGGTATCTCACACAGCTAAACCACACTAAATCACCTTTTACAGATTGCCTCTTATGTTAGCTGCATATATTTAACAAATATAAAACATGCAATGTTTTATTTTTTTCTAGCATAATTCATAATAATGTAAAATCTGTTTTTGTTAGAATATTTAAATACCATTTGTTTAAAAATGCATATATATGAATAGCAAAAGCTTAAATGCCCATCCTTGTTTCATATGCATGCAATTTCCTACAATTCTTTGTCAAAAGGATTGTGAGCGTATGAGGTTATACACACTATGGAGTTTGATGTAAAACAGTAAAGCAGTTTTTCCTAATCACTACTAACTCATCTCAAAGTATTGGATGGCGCTCCATCATTTCAGAGAACACAGTTCCACTGCATTTATACCCCTCTAGCCCACGCTTGGCATTGAGTGATTACCTTAGGCACGTGTGCAGCTGCTCCAGAGTGTCCCATTCTATTGATCTGTGCTTTTCTATGGAGATTATACAAGCTGTGTGCGACTGAACAGCTGTGTCAGCAATGGGTGTACCTTATAGCAGCTGGATTCACTAATGAGGACTGTCTGTATATTTTGCACATGTATTGTGGTTGAACTGGTCTTTCAGTACAATCAGAAGCCTTCAGCAAGATAATTAAGTTTTATTATTTAGTAATATGACTAAAGCTAAAATCAGTATTGTTGTATGACACCAACACTAATGTAGCGCTAGCATCAGTGAAAGCCTGTATATTAACAGCACTTATGTGCACCAACCCCCTCCCCAACAACCATCCATGGGACTGCACCACAAAAACAAAACACAACAGAAAGGAGGTGTCTAATTCAAGTGAATGGGCAATTTTAAAAAGCCTGCTGTACATTGGAGACATTTAAAGAGGTTTAACAGTATCTGCATCTAATGTAGTCTATTGTTTCATATGAAACAATTTGTTTTTATTTAAAAATATTTTTTAATCATTCAAGTATTCAGTGTCTGTTTTTGCCCTTTTTTGGCATATTTTGAATAAACAATGGCCAGTGGGGTTCATGGCAAAAAGTAAAAACTAAATAAAACCACAACTGGCCCATGGATTTGTTGAGATTTTTAAATATGGCCCTTTTAGTGGTTGAGTTTGACACTCCTGTATTATGCTTTACTGTTTTTTCCCTTTTTTTTCGTGTGTTATGTAGCTTTTTGTGCAAATGGTCCGCAAAGTTACAAAGCTCAAAGTACACAAAAAAAAAGTTACAAGATGATGCGATGTCGTAACAAAATCCTTATTGGCCATGTGTAGGGGTGGAACTTGTAGCAGGATGCTGCTACCACTTTCACATGTTCTGGTGGTTGAACAATCAGAACAGAGCACACTGGAAAGTTTAAAGACACAGAAACTCTAACAGAGAGATGTACAGTATGAGAAAAATTTGTTTTTGGAACATTGAAGCATGTAAATCTATTTAAGTAGGTTCCAAAAATTAAAGGATGAATCAGATTTATGATGAATCAGAAATATTGTTTTGAATATTACTTAGAAAAGGCCTTTGCCGCTAACACAAATTAAACAACTAATAGAGAGGTACGGTGAGCATGGGGAGAGAAAAATGGATGGAAACACAGAGGTAGGAGAAGAGAGGAGGGTCCACTTAGTGACTGAAGTGAGAGTCATATTTGAATGCAGGCCCCAAAGGGAGCATTATTGACATTTTAGTGGGGGAGTATTATTTGTCAGATTGAGATGATGAGCATAACCAGTAACACCATGAATAAATGATGGGCCTTTTGTGACCAGAGCAGGCCAAGGCTATTTGTTAGACGAATAATAAGATATTATACCGGAGTCATCAGGAAGGCATCATGCCAGTCAGGCTGAATGCAGAGCAAAAAATTGGACTCAGTCAGAACCTGATCAATTAAGCCCAGTCACTTCCCAAGTATGGCGTAGAAAAAACACTCTAAAGTTCTGTCTGAAAGGAAGTCAGGGATAAGCGTATTAAGTGCTTAAGTGCTTCATGTATTAAGAGAGTGCAGGAATCAATGTAAAGCTAAAGTGTGGTTCCATATGTACATTTATAATAGTATTTGTAATAGGCTGCGTATTAGACTGTTTTGTTTGAAATCGGGGAATCCTATTTGACATATTTTTGTTAGCTGCCTGTTCTCTGGGATACGTAGTGTGCAATGATTACAGTCAGGGCGATAACCAGGATCAAATTTTAGTGAGGTACATACTGCAGAATTGTATTCTACTTCACCTAGTCAATAAACCACATACATACACTCACTGAGCACTTTATTAGGAACACCTCCTTTTATCTACATGCATTGTCCATTTTATCAGCTCCACTGACCATATAGGAGCACTTTATAGTTCTACAGTTACAGACTGTAGTCCATCTGTTTCTCTGCATACTTTGTTACCCTGTTCTTCAATGGTCAGGACCCCCACATGACCCCCACAGAGCAAATATTATTTGGTTGGTGGATCATTCTCAGTACTGCAGTTTAAACACTGTGTCCACTCACTGTCCACTCTATTAGATACTCTTACCCTGTTGGTCCACTGTAGATGTACAGACGGAGACAGTACCTTATCTGTTGCTTCACAGTTTGTGTTGGTCATCCTCTAGTCTTTCATCAGTGCTCACAGGGCGCTGCCCGCAGAACGCTGTTGGCTGGATATATATTGAATGGATATATATGGAATATATTGAATGGTGGACTGTTCTCAGTCCAGCTGGGACACTGAGGTGATTAAAAACTACAGCAACACTACATATCTAGAGATACGTAAAGGCAGACCATGACGATTAGTGCATCTCTCACTTAGAGAATCAATACATTTTTAACGCATCAAATATAGAATCCAAAATTGTATCGAACCTGAAAAGAAGTGTGGCAACAGCTCTAGTAGTGTGCGATATGATTAATGGTGGAGAGTAATGTCTGTTTATGTCTCACATACAGGGTGTGATATAATTGAATATAGATCAAAAGGTGCAAATGTGTTTGCTTGTATGTGTGCGAGTGTGTGTTGTTGACAGCCTTTTCTCAGCTCGTGTCTGGGGTCAGAACGTTCACTACAGGCTTTGATTGGATATTAATGAAGGCGAATGAGTGATGAGTCGGCATAAAGCTGTGGCGCTGGCTACTCTATTAAACATAATGAGATTACAGGGGGCTTTGCCCAGATCCACCTCCAGCAAAACACTTCCGCCCTGTCAGCCCAGCATTTGCACACCTATAAACCATCCTCATGCACATGCATAGACATGCACACGGACCCCCATAGGACTACTGACAACTTCCTGGCAGCCTTACAGAAGAAAAAGTATATTACTATCAAATACTGTGAGCCTGTTACAGGGTTAGAATCAGTTACGGTCAGTTGTAGGGGTGTAGAAACTCGATTTTAAATGTTGAATCGCTTGTCATTTATAAAATTATTTGTTACAACAGTATTTCTTTTATTATGAGCTCATTTTTGGACAAAATAAACTCCTTAGACAATTTACAAATGTAAAAGTCCAAGAAAATCATATTGTTTAGAGTATATACATCATGGCTGTGTACATATTTTACCCTGTTAGAAAAAAGGGTGGGCTCTAGGTAAATTTTGGTCAGCCTAAGTGGAAATAATTTAAATTTACTCTTAAAATTGGTTATTAGTCCTAAGGTCCAATTGTATACCTTAAATAAGTTTTAATTGTTAAGTATAACATAAAAATAATGGAATCAAGACAATATCTAGAAAGTTAATGCAACTTAGAAAAAATAACAATAGAAAAGGACACAATTATGCTCCCTAACTGTGTTTCAATATTTACATATTGTAAATGGTGATTTGCCTTGCAGTGTATTAAGGGTACACTAATGAACCCTTGATGGGACATGTTTAAAGGTTAGCCTGCTTTATTTTAAACAACTTTTTTGTTTGCCGGATCACGATGTAGATTTTATAGACCCCTCTTTGTTTAGAACTAGGACCAGGAGGTCAGACCCATTGGACATTGAAAATGACTGTGTTTATATAGGCTGGCTCAGGCACATTGGCCAAATTAGGTACAGAAACAACAGCTGTTTGTAACCCTTACATAGACAATCAGGAGTAACTGTTCACAGTGTCCTCCCATTGTCCTCAGTTCACATAAACCATACACAGATCACATACATACACATAACACTGAACATAATATTCCACATAAAAAAAATATAAAACAGCAGATCCTTCAGTGAGGAGGCTATGATTCATCAAAATACCCCAAAAGCCTCAGCTGGAACATCGAATAGAGCACCTAGTGACTGGTTAGAGGCTCATTTGCATACTGTTGTTCCCTGTGTTATCGGTAGAGGAAAGGTCAGCATTGCTGTAACGATTAATTAATGACATGTTGTGCAGCTCCAGTACCATGTTGAGTTGACTCACCCAGAGTAATGGTTACCTAAGAGTATTTATTTATAATGGGAGTAAATTAGGCCACAATATAGGTCACAGTTTGGCCTAATTATGTTAGGCCTGAACACATAGGCTATATAGCTTAAGGAATAGTCTTGGACTTGAACCACTGATTACTCATAAACATACGTAAAAAATTTTGGAAAGATTTTGCGTCACCTTTTCTAAACAGTTCAATATGTTGCGTAAAAAGTTATGTGAATTCAACATGATATTTTTGCCGAAAGGGCAAAAATATATTTTGCTTATCGTTGGCTTTTGCAATACTGATACTGCAGAAGGCTACAGTATGCAGAAGAGCTCTTTAATAATGTGTTTTTTTTTTATGCATTGAGCATCTTGATCAACCTCAGATGTTCCAGATAAGTTTCTGTGAGATGAGGACCTCAACATGTTCCAACAAGTATGAATGTCATCAAAATCGTGTAGGTCAGCCTTATCAAGGACCCGTCAGTGCCTTTTAATATATTACATGGCAAGTCACAATAAAAATATCTAGTAATATAATCACAATATTATATGTTTGACCACATTGTGCAGTCCTCAGGTGTGGGTGTGGATGTGGGTGTGCGAATGTGCACTGTATGTATTTGCTGTTCACAGGTGGTCCTGGAAGCACTTCTGCGCAGGCGTTCAGGAGTTTCTGGCTGCAGCGAGGAAGAGGAGAGAGATGAGAGAGGAAGCAGGAGAGGATGGAGAGATCCCTTTGTCTGCAGTGGGCGTGGAGTGTCTCCTCGTGGCCGCCGCAGCCTACGAGCACAAAACACTGTGAGTCAGCTACAGCTTCCATCCTAGTCCTCAGACCGTACACCTTTTTTTTTCCTTTAACAGCTTCCAGTGCAGCTCCTCCAGATATTCAGTGGGCCTCATTCACCAACCGTTTTTAAGAAATTTCTTCTTAAAACACTCTCTTAACACTTTCTTGAATATTCTGACATTCACCAATGTTTTCTTATGTAAGATTTGTTCTTAGGTTAAAACAGAATCTACACACACTCAAGAGCATAAAGGTGTGAACAGTTCTGCGTTTTAACAGCACGTCATGAATCTGACGTAGACTTTTTCTTAGGCCCTTTCTCAAGAATAAATTTAAGAAAAAACAAGTGTTTCTAATGCTTTGGTTTAAGTGTGTTTGGAGCTGAGATAGGGGGAAAAAACATGCACTGTGTATTGGGCCCAGATCTAGAACACTTGCACTGTGTATTGGGCCTGGATCTATAACACACTGGGACTTTCCTTCAGGAATGTGAGTCAGTCCAGATTTTTGCTCTATTCTGGCTCCTACTACTGTTGTACCAGGTCCTGAAGGGCCATAGGTTTGATCAGTTTGGTCTGTCCTCGTTACCAGCTCTGAGGTAATTCACTTTTTCAATTCTAGTGTTGAATAAATAGATACATAGATAGATAGGTAGGTAGGTAGGTAGGTAGGTATTTACGTAGGTAGACAGATAGATAGATAATCCTATTAATGTGATGAACACTGCAGGAATAATAGTTGGTGTGTTATAATGGTAAGTACTGTCAAAGTTAACATGTCAATAACACATTTTCCTAGTTTGACCCTTCAGACCATCTTTATTAGTGCAGGCTGAAGCCCAGCTATAGTGCACTGTGTGTTGCTAGGATAAAATCAGTAGTTGTAGCTCTCTCATTAAAATACAGCTTTTAAATTACTTTTAAAGCAATACTTTCAGCACCTTCAGCAGACTACACTGGACAGCATTTGCTGGAGAACTCTGGATAAATCAATGAGCAGCAAACTAACAAAAGCAGCAGTTGGTGAAGCTTCAGTTCCCCTCGAGATCCTCCACTGTAACAAGAATTCATGAGCCGTATGAATAAGAGAGAGGCTATGATTACAGAGGAGTTGGACGATTAACTGTATATATGCTAAATATAATACACACTCTCATTAACTGTATATATGATATATACATGTATTGACTGTATATATGCTATATATGAGATAAATATATATATATATATATATATATATATATATATATATATATATATATATATATATATATATACTCATTGACTGTACATATGCAGTCAATGAGTACATATATATACACTCAGTGACTGTATATGTACACTCATTGGTTGGAACTTGCAGATACTGTCGCTCTCACTGGATGTCAGTGATGAAAATTGGCAACACTCTATGATGGACATCATGATTTTGATGTTTGATTCTGCATTGACGTGATGAAAATAATATTGAATTACTGAAAGTAATAAACACATTATGATCATTATTTTGTCCACTCAAATAGCTAATTGCAGTGCTTTATAAATGGAAGCAGTTTTTCTTTAAGCTCAAATATGAGCGAGTAAGACAAGTGCAAATAACTGTGATTAACTACAGAAAATAACGTTTAATCACAGTTAATTAATTGTTTGAGAGCACTCATTATTATATTGTAAAAATATGTTGAACCCAAAGTCATGTTATCATCATAATTAAGCATCATGTAAGCATTAGAATTACATAATCAATATTACAAAAGAATAAAAACATCAATGACAACTGCAGAGAGAAAGAGAGAGACTGATTTAACTGGAGTGAGGATGAGAATGAAAGTATTGAGAAAAGAGGTAGGATTTAAGCTGAGCTTTAAAGCCCAAGATGAATTTCAGGACAGACAGAAGTCAAGCGTAAGAAGAAATAAAGGTACAGGCTAGTGGGGGGGCAGGAGTGCAGCTAATTAAGTGATGGAATGTGTAGAGATTTGTACCTTAACAGGAGTTTAAACCTTAGCAGGAGTTTTAAAATGCGTAGTGCACAGGCAGCCAGTATAATTGAAATAGCACTGGGGTGAGATGAACTGATTTTTAAAACGAGAGTGAATTCTGGCAGCTGAATTGTGAACGTACTGAAGAGAGTGGACGGTTTTGTCAGGAATACCAATGAAAAGAAAGGCGCAGAAGTCTAGACAGGACAATGTGAAAGCGTAGACCAGAGTTTATAGGGCTGGAAAAAGCAGCTTTGACCAGAACCCTGATGTATGGTTTAAATGAAGATACTGAATCAAGAATACCTGAGTTATGAACTGCTGATGTGAAGTTTAATAGTCACATAATCTACACTGAGAGTAGTCAAAGAACATTGAAATTGTGGACCAATAAATAAAACTTTGGTTTTGTCAGGGTGTCGTTAGATCTCAGCTATCTATTAATTTGATATGCACTGTCTACAATCTAAACTCATTAGGGATGCACCATTCATGAACTTTTATGGCTGATTTTGGTTTCTTTACATCATGAATACATCAATTACACCAAATTAAAAATAATTAAAAAAGCACATAGTTTATCACATATTATTAGAATATTGTTGAATATGATTATAATCAATTATAATCTGAAATTCCAGTTGAATTTTTACAGACAATTTCAATTCTGATTTCTTTATAGGCACATTGCGGCCAAAAGTTGAATTTTTATTATTATTTTTTTTTCTATTAACCTTTTTATTTTCAATCTACTCACAATGTGTGGGGTAAATGAACACACGATAGCACATTTCCAGTGCTTATTATTACCCAAACATACAATATAAACAACATCATTTGCTTCTCAATGGCGAACTAGCTTTTGATTTTTTGTTTTTATTCAGTTGCCTACATAAACAGCATGAACCAAATAAAGTGCTATCGACTGATTGTTTAGCACAATGAGTCGTGTATAGTTGTGTATGTTATGCTACGAAACTTTGGCACAGGTGTAGCAGCAGCATTTGCAAAACTGCAACACAGCTGTCAAAATAAAATAAATAAATTGGCCAATTGCTGATTTTGTATTTTGACCAAAAAATGGTACTTGGCCACATTAAGAAAGCACTAACTGTTGTTAACTCATTCACCAATATCTTCCTAAGTTTTTTCTTAATTTGCTCTCGAGAAAGACATTTTTTAAAGCACAGAGTTGTGCCCTTTGTGCTCTTTAGTGTGTGTAGATTCTGTTCTTACAAATCCCAAATAAGAAAACATAAAATCTGAAATCTGGTGGCCTGGATGAGTACAGACTTTTCAGCTGTTTCATGGTGTTACCTCTGTCTTGTGTTGTTGTTTTAACCAACCAGTCCACTGTATGTCCACTAATACCAACTATTTCTTCAGTCATTGATTGTGATTGAATGCAATGAAATAGCAGCAAGCTGGACTGCATGTGACTCTGCTGGGGAGAGGAACTGGACACCAGCAAAACTGATTTAAGATGCACTGCAGCATGGTCTGTTCTCTAAAAGCGTTGTTTCGGTTTCCTTCATTTCAGATTGGAAGGCAGTTAGGAACAGTTCGTATGGAGTGGGGTTTTAACTGCTTAAGTGGTTCATGTAGAAAGTGCAGGAGTCAATGTAGTGGGGAAAATCCATTCTGAATATGATTTATAGCTGCTTATTCTTGAAAAAAGTGACTGTGCTTTTAAAAATTCTCCTAAGAAACCACTTCTTAAAGGGGAATTCCACCATTTTTCAAACTATTCGCATACTTAAATCATTAACATGTAAACAGAGTCATTCAAAGTGGTTTAGTGTGAAATGCTCAGACAGTGTTGGTGATAGGAACCAGACGTCCACCTCTAAAAGCTCCCTCACAGAAAGTTATTACATGAAATGGCTGTGAATACACTGCCTGATGACTGAGACACTGTTTGACAACAGATTTGAGAAGATTTTGGCCTGAAATGTATTTTTTATAAACAAAGCCATGGTCCATTATAAGGCAAAGTAGTATTTGTTTTTTTCAAATTCATCACTGTTTTGCCACCATTATCATTCAATATAAAAAAAAATGAAAGATTTTCTACACAGTGAGCCACTTTACATCAGACCACTCTGAATTACTTTCTTTACATCTCAACCACTGAGTTTTCTAGAAATGATGAGAAATCAGAGGGATTTCCCTTTAATAGGCAGTTATTTTTCTGTTGGAATGGTTCCAAATGATATTCTTCACAACAACCAAATAAGTGCTAAAAGCATAAAAACAAAATAAATAATTAATAAATAAATACTATTTATGCTCATCACATTCATGTTAAGTACATTGAATCTATATCAGATATATTCATTATATTCAGTACAAACAGAGATCCAAAACTCTGCCACTGTTCTGCTGACTCCTGAGTGGAGTGTTTGCTGAGTTGGGAGAACAGATTCCTCACTGTACATGGGTGTGTGTGTGTGTGTGTGTGTACAGTCCTGAACCCCCTTCAGGGCCTTCTGAGGGAATTTCTTCCAGCTTTTCTAAAAAGAGCTTTTATTTATATCTTCAGACTGAAGCACTGCTTGTCATTATGCGTGCCCACTGGAGCCTGGGCTCCACCCGGACGCTATTTCCAGTAAAGAGGCCAGAGCCCTGCCCTGCACTCACTGCTGCTAATGTGTTATTACAGCCGGCAATGAGAGACTGCTGCTTCCTCTCTCTCTCTCTCTCTAAACCTCCCTCTCTCTTCTTCTCTCTCTGAACCTCTCTCTCTCTTCTTCTCTCTCTCGCTAAACCTCCCTCTCCCTTCTTCTCTCTCGTTGAACCTCGCTCTCTTCTTCTCTCTCACTGAACCTCCCTCTCCCTTCTTTTTTCTCTCTAAACCTCTCTCTCTCTTCTCTCTTGCTAAACCTCCCTCTCCCTTCTTCTCTCTCGTTGAACCTCCTTCTCTTCTTCTTCTCTCTAAACCTCTCTTTCTCTCTCTTCTTCTCTCTCACTGAACCTCCTCTTCTTCGTCTCTTTCTGTTTTTCTCTAAACCTCTCTCTCTCTGTGTCGCTCTCTCTCTCTAGCCCTATCGCTCTTTCTTTTTTTTCCTCAATCTCTCTTCATTTCCTCTTTCTCACTTCCTCTCCCTAACTCTCTCTGTCCCCAGTCCATTCTTTTATTTCTCTCTCTCTCATTCTATCTTTCTTCCTCTCTCACTCTCTTCCTTCGTTTCCTCTGTTTCTCCCTCCCTCATTATCCCCCATTCCACTCTTTTATTTTTCTCTCTTCATCTTTCTCTCTCTCTCTCTTTCTCTCTCTTTCTCTCTTTCTCTCGCTGTCTCTTTCTTTCTCTCTTTCTCTCTCTCAATCTCTCTTCATTTGCTAATTTTTACTTCCTTTCCCTAACTCTCTCTCTCCCCAGTCCACCTTTTTATTTCTCTCTCTCTCTTCTATCTTTCTTCCTCTCTCACTCTCTTCCTTCCTTTCCTCTCTTTCCCTCCCTCTCTATCTCCCCATTCCATTCTTTTATCTTTCTCTCTCTTCATCTTTCTCTCTCTCTTCATTTCTCTCCCTCTCCCCCTCCCCCCCAGCACCCCCTCCATTTCTGCTGTCTGTGGTTGTGCGAATGGGTTCCACATGGCGCCTCCCCCCACCCCCCATTTACGGTTCCTCTGCAGTCTCTTTTTAGTTTTTTAATGCAATGTTACTATAAAGGTTGTGTGCTAACTGTAGCCTTTCATTAGTGGAGCAAACGTGATTTTTGCATCTTCTTACATCTGATTTGTTCCAGCGTTTCTAACTCGTCCCTGACTGAGTCAGTGTTCTGACGGCTGTTTCAGACATATTGAGCATTAAGTACCGTTTTCCCTCCTCCTGCGTTTAGTGGATTGCTGGATGATTCATTGTATAGATTTTCCTGCAGGAAGGCAAAACGAGCCACTTAAACAGTGACTGTTAACCCAAATATTGATACAGAAATTCTATATGAAGTGCTATTAAGGAGTATGAGCAATCAGGAGAGATGACACATCACTGGCAGTGAGACTTTCTGCTAAACGCTGTGAGCTGAGGGTTAGCGATATCCGTAAACAGAAGCGTATGATACGGAGGATGAGGAAGAGAAAAATAACAGCCTGTTATTCACGATGAAGAGCAGCACTTACAGCCCTAATGCAGTGCAGCATCAACAAACAGGCCAGAGATAAGGAGTAATATCTCTCTCTCTCTCTCTCTCTCTCTCTCTCTCTTATTACCTCTCTCTCACTCTTATCTCTCTCCTATCTCTATCTCTCTCACTTATTATCTCTCTGCCTCACCTTTCTCTTTCTGTTTGTTTTTCTCTCTCTACCTCTCTTTTTTCCCCTTGTCTGTCTCTTCCTCTTTATGTGTCTTTCTGTCTCACACTCTCTCTCCTATTTTTTTCTCTTTCCTCTTTCTTTTGTCTTCTCTGTATCTCTCGCTCTCATCTTTGTTTGTCTCTCACACAGTGTGTTTTTCCCCTTTGTTCTTTCTCTGCCCCATGTCTCTTTTACTCTTTCAATTTCAGAGTAGCTTCATTGGCATGACAGTGCATTGTTAATGTTACCAAATCATGTAAACTATAAATTGAACATATTTTGATGAACTAATAGCAATAATTATAATAATCATAGTGAAATAATAATAAAAAGAAAGGTAACACATATTAAATAATAGAAATAATAATAGACAATATATATTGTACATTTTATCTACAGTGAGGGGGGGGGTCAGTGGGGTCAGGGTGTGGGGTGTGCTACTCACTGTCCCTTAGGATTACATAATTTGGGTGAATGTTTTTCATTTTTTAGACATTTCTGGAATAAATTTGAATTTTTCACAGTGAAGGAGGAAGTGCAGCTCTGTCTCAAAGACAGTGACCACACAGTCTTCTTTCTCTGGGCAGCCGGGATTTTTTATATGCGCCGGTTTCTATCTAAACTGTGGTCACTGAGCCTGTACTTGGTCAGGATCTGTCTCTGCTGTGCGTCTCTGATGGTGGAGAGATATTCTGCTAATTCATACTCTCAGGGCCAGATAGCACTGAAATTTAGACTTAGAGTTTTGGTTTCACTGTGTCAGTGTTCCAGATAGATTACTGTGTTTGATAATTCGGTATTTAATGTAATTTTGATTACTAAATTTTAGATGCGGCCAAAGTTTTAAAGATGCTTTTTGAATTAGTAAAATCAATCAGCCTTCTGCGTTACGTGCATTCGTTGTATTTTTGCATTCGTGTTTTTGTTGAACATTTCATATATTTCTGCAGAATTCTGCATGCAGGGATGCTTATCCCATCTAGTGTGGTCATGCTTACTGAGTGGATCCCATATCTCACTTCCAAACAGTGCAATAGGCACAATTTTAGTGCATTCACTCCCAGATCAAAGTTTCCTGATGCACTGATTTTCAGTCCTAGGTAGTCATAATGTAACAAATGCTCTCGGGAGGTGTTTCCTAGAGTGAAAAGGTGTCTGTTTTCCTGAAACCTGTTTTTTCTGGAAGATTACAATTCTAGTTTTGTCCAGATTGACTGTCAGGGCCCAGTTCGGACAGAACTGCTCCAGCAGGTCCAGGTGCTGCTGTAGCCCTCGCTCTGTAGGCGACATATACTTTACCCCTACACCACATTGAAGAATCATATAAAAAAGTCCAGTAAGACAAATAGAATCAAATGCTTTTTTTAAAGTCAAATATTTTACTATAACTTTCTGTGCTGGACATGCTGGTTATTCAGGATGCGTAGGGTATAAATATGATCAGTAGTGACTCTTATTTATGACACTGTTCAGTAAGAAAGACCTGTATTTAGGCATTAACAATGCAGCAGAAAACCTTCCCCAGATTACTGCTCACACATATGCCTCAGTAGTTGCTGAGGTCAAATTCTTGTCTGCTCTAAGGCCCAATCCCGTTTCTTATTTTTACCCCTACCCCTTGTTTTCGAGTGTTACGTTGCCCCTTGGAACTGAGTTATGAGGAATAGCGGTTGAGATCTTCCCTACGAAATGGGACCCTCAAATAAAGAAGAACATTACTTCATTAACTTGGAACGCTGCCAGTCTGCAGTGATAGCAGAGGAGGGTAAAGTTCAGCAACCTTGCTGCTGGGCTTTAGTTACATTTAGGGCATCATATGCCTTCAAAGAGGGACAATTATTTATTATCGCCCACCCCTGATTCTTCAGCGATGTGAAGCTGAGTTCAGCTATTCCCCAGATTCTCGTTCGAATTTTCCTGTTACACCTTAAATGGTGCAGCAGTTACATTCTGGCGCATGAGGCGTCAGTACTGCTGGAATATTTAAGGTGGAACGGGTAATTTAGCTAGCTACCTAACGAGACATTAGCATACTACTAGCGATTTTTTATGCTTGTTATGAAGAAAAGGACCATAATACATTGAAACAAAATTAAACTAAGATTATACAATGATTATTGTCATTTTAACAGCGAAAATACTAACATTTGTGGGTTTCTTTGGTCACTTGTGTAGCCGTCTTGCCGCTTTTTCTTTTTTTCTCTTAACACTCCATTTGCCTCTGAAAAAGCTCCGTTTGGAGGGCCACGTAGCCCTAACACTTCGCCATATCCCTCAATCTCAACACAAATCGGGACACCCTACCCCTAGACATGAATGTGCAAACTGGAGGGCTGAGGGCTAAGAGGTAGGAGCAAAGGGTGAAATAGGATTTGGCCTAAAAGACTGGGGATTTTAGTCATCCGTTCCAGGATTAAATAATTTCAGTAAGGCCCTGTGCAGGTCAGGAGGGCTGTTTCTGTTGTCTTTCTCTCTCTTCCCCTCTCCCTCTCTCTCTCTCTCTCTCTCTCTCTCTCTCTCTCTCTCTCTCTCTCTCTCTCTCTCTCTAGAATGATGTTGCTTTGAAAGTGTAACATTTATCTCCATAAACTATTAGGATGTGGACTAATGGACTAATGTCTCTCTCTCTCCAGACTGACTGGAGAGAAGGTGCTACAGTTGTCTCTCTTGGCCACTAGGAAGCGTTACCGGCGCTGTGGGGTCGGCCGATATATAATAGAGGTATGCGCAGCAATGAAGTATTATTTTAGTAAAATAAAATAATGGCTGTTACTCTGGTTGCTGCTATGAGAGGGTGTTAGTGGCACAGTAGCAGTGGTTCATCAGTACATTAATGTGGTCAGTTTCGTGCTGCCCTCTGCTGTTAGTTTGAGTTCTTACAGTTGTCATGTTAATCTTAGGCAGGAAAAAAGGAATACAATGTATTAAAACCTTGCAGTGGTTCCATAATGACTTAATTAAAGTCCATAGCTGGAGTCGACTATTAAATTAAATAATATGTGATTAGAAAAAGTAAAAAGAATGAAGCAGTTTGCTTTATTTTGTGGACTAGTCTTAAAGCAGTAGTGAATTAAGGTCATAATGTATGGCTAATGCATTGTGCGTTTGATTGATAGCTGCTGAAGTCTCAGTCAATTTGTGGAAATTATGATGCACTGCTGGCTCATGCAGACTCAGACGCCATAGAATTCTTCTCACACTGTGGACTAACGGACGATCCTCTACTCAACGACAAGTTCAGGTACACACACACACGCCCACACACACTTACACACACAAACTCAAACCGGGAGTATAAATCTCTGATTCTGTTCCTCTTTAGGAGACAATTCAGTACATTATGAAATATTAAATTTCACCATGATTGGATGTTTTGTTAAATCATGATTCATTGATTCCACAGAATGCACAAACATGGACAAAGCCTTACACTGTCAGCGCATTCATTTTCAAGAAGTGCTACATTTCAGTAAAGTCAAACCAAAAATTAAACCATTTTCAAATATCAAAAATAAGCACATACATTATTATTAACGTTAATATTATGTTGTTGAATATTATTCTAAGATTTTATTAAGTATTGTAACATTGTTGTATGTTATAATCAATTATAATCTGAAATTCCAAAACCGTAACTTGTTGTAGGTGCACCAATCATGATTTTTTATATCCGATTTTAGTTCCAATTTAATTACAGCCAAATCGGCCAATGGACGATTTTTATGGTTGATATTTGTTGTGTGCCGATATGTATGTATTTATTTATTTATTTATATGCCTGAAGCTCACACTGCGCTAAGCAAACACATGAAACACACAGTACTTTTTGTACAGCAATATGCGGTAAATAGTATTATTTGCTCTCTGAATTTACATTTAAAATCAGTTACCTGTTTACATAACGTGAATCAGATTAAGCACTGCATTGAAAGTAAGAGGCAGCTGGCTGTTTAGCACGAGTCGCTGTGCTGTGACATTTTGGTGCAGGTGTAGCAGTAGCATTTAAAAACAGCATGAGTCCTCTTACCTGCCTCGTGTTATTTACATCATAAAACTGCAACGCAAATCTGCCAAAATAATGTGTAGGCTGCATCCCTAGTAACTGTAAAGCTGATGATACAGGTAAAACAGTTAAAGAGATAATTTTGTAATTTTGTTTGTGAAATTTTACTTGTAACTGAGCCTTTACACACTTATAGACATAGCGGATACTGTTGCAGGTATGCAGATTAGGGAAATCTCCTAGACACTCGACTTCGATTCAGGTGCCAAGATGCGCGTATAAAGTGCTTTTTAGGGCATCTTGATTTTATACACACAAGTATATTGACAGTCACCCAAGTATATTTTGTATTTCAATTTCAATTTCTAAATGCAGTTTTATCGCATTTTAACAAGTTGCATATTTTTTATATTATTATAATCAAGGGCACACTTTGTCCTTTCAAGCTTTTTCAAGCTTGTTTTACATTTTTGTAGTTCAATTCTGCAGACTTAATAAACAACATTTAAAAAAAAATTCCAACCATACATAACATATTTAAGTAGTCAATTAAGTAAAAAGAAATCCTGAGATAAGTGTGGATATCCATATACATTAGAAGTTTATTTCAGATGTGTGGGAAACACTGATATAGATGAAAATTATGACCATATTTGTGCTGTATTTTCTTTCCCCTACAGGGAGGTGAGGGACGAATGGGCCAACACCACTCTTATGAGTTACTTACCACCCTTTACCACAGGTGAGCCACACACTCTCGCACACACTTGTACGCCCTCCTGATGCTTTTGACTCAGTGTTCTCATTCGTGTTTGTCGTGTGCTTTTTTCAGAACTGCAGAGCAGGAACCCTGGTTTCTCATTAAGTTTAGCAGAGCTGGAGGTGGAGGTGAACCTGGCGTGAGTTTACCTTTATGCTGATTTTACTCAACAGCTGTTACACCAGGCTTAAGCTCACTAAACCTTTACAACAACCACCGAATTAACCTGCTGTTTGTTTACCTTTGTGCTTTAATCGTATTGAACCTTTTTTGCAACAACCATGTTAACTTGCCTTAAGCTTACTTTCCTTTGCTCTACCGCAATAATTATATCATTGGGGCAGTTGTGGGCTGGAGGTCAGGGAACCAGCCTTGTGACTGGAAGGTTGCCGGTTTGAACCCCCTCAGCCGACAGGACATGACTGAAGTGCCCTTGAGCAAGGCACGTAACCCCCAACTGCTCCCTGGGCGCTGTGGATAGGGCTGCCCATCACTCTGGGCAAGTGTGCTCACTGCCCCCTATGTGTGTGCATTCACTAGTGTGTATGTGGGTGTTTCACTGCACAGATGGGTTAAATGCAGAGGTGAAATTTGGAGGACTAATAAGGGTCACTTAACTTATATTAGCCACACCAATGATGCTTGAACAGTTATCAGTCCTGATCCAGCTGTACTCTTTGCGCTGAATATGTTAGTGTTTCCCCTGCTCTAACACACTTGATCCAACTAATCAGCTCATTATCATTCTCTCCTGATTGAAGTGGGTGTGTTAGAGTAGAGGAAATGAGACAAACTGAGGCAATGTATTAATCTATCTTGATAGCTAACTTGCTAACTTTGCCTTATGGTTTGTTTTCCTCTTCTTCTGACAAGTCTCTTCTGCAACTTGATAGATATGTAGTGCTAATTATAATGTTTTTTTTTGTTGTTTTTTCTGTTTATATGCTGCTCAGATTTAATATCACTAAACAAAAGCACAAAAAACACTTAAAAACACAAGCAGCAAATGAAAACTCGTCTTAATCTGACTGGACTCACGTGATGCTCGTTCTCAAGTGGTATTCCACGCATGCATGTAATTTTGGATCGGATCACTTGTAGTGTGCATGTAAATGGAGATTTTCCATCAGATTGTTGAGTAGAGTGATTTTTTTCTCCTTTTTTGGCCCATTTCCCATTTTTCTCCCCAAATGAATCATGTCTAATCATGCTAGGTCTCCCCCAGTCATAATCACACAATACTACTAGCACTAGGGGGGTAAGGGGGACCACATGCTTCCTCCAAGTCATGTGAAGCTCCATGGCAAATTTTCAAACTGCTGCTAATGCACTGTCATTGTACAGCTGAATGGAGAACACTAACTGCCAGTTCCATGACATCCGCTAACAGACACCTACACTAACTAGCCTTGAGCTGAGTGATGGGGGAGAAGGAGGGCCATCCTACCAACACAGAGAGAGAGCGAGCAAGGCCAGTTGTGCCCTCTTGGACTCCCGGCAACGAATGACTGTAGCATCACCAGGGATCGAACTCATCATCTCCTCAATTTTAATGCACACAGTCTATTTGCTGTTGAGTAAAATATATTTATTTAATATATTTTAAGTAAAATGTATATACTTATTTGCTCATAAGTAAAATTTTATGTGCACCCTAACTTTTGCACATACTGCATTTTGTTTTATTTTTTTTTCTAATATGTTAATTCAGGGGCGGCACGGTGGCGCAGTGGGTAGCGCTGTCGCCTCACAGCAAGAAGGGCCTGGGTTCGATCCCCAGTCGGGCGACCAGGGTCCTTTCTGTGTGGAGTTTGCATGTTCTCCCCGTGTCTGCGTGGGTTTCCTCCCACATTCCAAAGACATGCAGTCAGGCCAATTGGAAATGCCGAATTGCCCCTACATGTCTGTCTGTCTGTCTGCCCTGTGATGGACTGGTGACCTGTCCAGGGTGTATTCTGCCCACCGCGACCCAGAAGGATAAGCGGTTTAGATGATGTATGTATGTATGTATGTTAATTCAGCAAATAACCCAATAATTGTGCATTAAAATATACAGAAGTGTGTTCTCTGTAGAGGTTTAACTTATTTCCACCTCAGTGACCAGGAGTGCCCAACAAAAAAACAAAAAATGTGCACATATCCAGCTTCCTTTCAAACCACTCATTGCCACATTGTGACCCAGCAGTGCGTCGAGACCCACAGTTTGAAAACCACTGTACACCATGCTGTGCTACCAGCTAACATGTTTGTATGTGTGTGCATCTGATCCAGGCGGATGACGGCCCTCTCTGCATATCAGCAGCAAGCAGTATGTGTGACCAGACTTGTCAGGGAGGTGAAGACGCTGAGACAACAGGTGGAGTTATACACACATTTGTTAGTTTCTCTGTGGAATCAAATATTAGTTTATTTGATTCCACAGAAAAAAAAAACAATTAGGGCAAAAATGCTTCATGGTTTGTGTTTGTCTCTTTTCGTCCACGACTACATACGGCGTAAAACATCAGAGATATATATAGCAGCACTGCCTCCGCACACATGCTTCCACTCACTGCAGATACAGAGCAGTATTTAAACAGCTGTTTTGCGTTTTGTTTACACTACCCTGCCATCTGCAGCCTACAGATTACATGCCTGTGTACACAAACCAACCATTTATAGTCTATTAATTCAATTATGTTCTTACATGATTAATATTTGAAGCTTTTTAATGCACATGCTTGATCTTAGTTCAAATCACATGCAAATTCACTTTGGTTTTTATTTATAAGATGTATTATTCATAAAAACGAACACATATACAGTAACAAATGCATTGTTTTATAGCTACCTATAGAGAAACTGTAGAACACGACTCAGTACCAACATTTAGAGCCGGTTATTCATTCAAGCTAATGAGAAACTGTAGAACAGACTCAGTTTATATCACAATACCTACATTTAGAGACGTTATTCATTCAACCTAATGAGAAACTGTAGAACAGACTCAGTTTATATCCCAGTACCCATATATAACCTATAACTTAGCCCTGCCTTACAGCTGCAGCAAGCATCCTACACTTACGTCATACGGACTTTGTGTGAGGTGACCTTAATCACTGCTATTGAAATGCGGAGCAATCTAGATATTAATTTTAATATACATTTATTCTTGATGTTATACACTTTTCATTTTAGAATCCTCTACAGCTCTGTTCATTATTCTGAACACATAGCAAGGCAAGTTACAGTTTGCCATTATTGATAGCTTACATTTAGCCAAAAAAGTAATATCCGAATCACAAAATTAAAAACCACATACCCACCCAACAAACTAATATCCAAATAGTTGAATATTCGGGTCCAGCCCTACAAAAAACCCATCCAGTCTGCCCTCACAGTGTTACCTTTGTCAGACATACAGTATAAATATCATTTGTTAATTTGTCAGGTCACTAACTCACTGTAAATTTAGAATGTTTTGACAAAATAGTTGTGCAGTACAGTTTCTTCTCAAGTGTGATTTTTCTGTAAAGCATTTATGGCACTTTGCAGATGCTTTTATATGGAATACTCGCAATTTTAATCATGTTACAGAGGTAGCTGAATGGAGTGTCTAAAGTCTCGCCCAAGGATTCTAAATGGTCTATTGTGGTTGTTCTTCCCCACCAAAATCAAACCTCAATCTGCTGCTGAAGGGCAGTGGTGTTGCCCATTACACTATTCCAACCACATAAAGCTTGTCCAACCTCTCCAAAACAACTACAAAAGGGTCAGTCAGAGTTACAATTCCAATACATATTGCTATATACAGTCATGTTCAAAAGCTCAGATATTCCAGGTCAATTTAGATGTGCTAAATGAAAATAAGTTAACACATCCTCTACAGGGAACAAACGTAGAGATGCAATTTTACTGCAGATTGTAATGCATAATTTCTGTTTATCTGCTGAGCTCAACATAGTGGAAGAACATAAAACCTCAAATATAAAATGTGCTGTAACTTTTGCACAGGCCATACTTTGTAGTTTATGTTTTCCCAATATGTTAAATTCAGCAAGTAACCAGTAGTTGTGCATTAAAATGTGTAGAGAATGTTTAAACTTATTTTCATTTAGGAAATCAACAACAACATGGAATTTGACTTGATGTGCCTAAACTGTTGCCTGCGGTTTTTTAGGAATTACAGTCATTCAACGGGAAACCAGTTCTCTACAAACCTGCAACCGCACTTTAATTGTGTGGATGAAAATACCTCCACCAAGTAGAAAATGTAGATTATATACCAAAATACACAAAAGAAGAGAAGCAAGAATACAGTTTGTGTTCAAAAAAGCTTTTTGTCCATGCTTAGTGAGGGAGTAAGAGTCCTCAGTCTTGACTGGTCAGCTGTGGGTGGCATATGGCCCCTTTCATGAGTACTTTTTTTTCATGATTTTTTTTCAATGTACACACACAGTTTAAAAATGTGAAGTGTGGTTGTGCAGGCTAGAGGAGCACTTTTCAGTCAGGATGCTCATTGCTCCATAACCAACAATGAGGAGAAGCACTCTTGATCATATTCCGATCAAGTTCTCTGAATTCATCCAACATTATTTCCATGGTGTTTAAAGCTTTTTTGTTTATTGTGATAGAATTCAGTTGGAGCTACAGAGAGAAGAAGTGGATATGCTTCACAACGAGTTAGAGCGAGAAAAAGAAAAACGACACAAAATAGGTGCATAACACTGCTTATGTTTTTTTGCATTGATGTTATTTATAAAAGACACATAAGAGTAGAGTTAGCCAGAATTGGTATTAGTGTTCTCTTCTCTAACAACCCTGTTTCAACTAATCAGCATCTTAACATGACCGTAATGACTTCAGTCAGTTACATTATAGTGATGATTTGGCCAGAAAATGAAATTTACACCCCCATAGCCCAAATATAGTAGATCAGCAAAGTTTGTTCATTTTGCACTGCCAGGCTAATGTATCTAACAGTTAATGGAAGCTTATAGCCATCAATTAGTTGAGTACTCTCAAATGGACTTGCTTGTGGTTTCTGACACTGTATTATATACTATTATTTAGAAACATGGACATAAGTATGTTGCAAAGCTAGAAACAGCAGTACCAATCCTTTGTAGCCTGTATTTTGTCCTTTTTTATTGTTAACATTGTGTTGTACAGTGTTCAAGATTACGTTTTGAAGTTTGCATGATGCTGAGTGGTTACTATAAACTTCTATTACTTGTAAGCTACATTAACCTCATTGTTCCAGCACAAATGAAAAAAAAAGCTGCTTTATTGCTTTAATGTAGTGGACACACTGAAGTGTGCAGTGTAGGGCTACTCCAGGGCAAGGATGAGAAAACTGCATTAGAGTACATTAGTGTTATGTCTTATGGATGGCCTGAATAAGTAATAGAATATGAGGCTACGCAGGCAGTGCCTGCATTCAGTGTCAGTCACCTGATAATGGAGAATCTGTCTGTGTTGGTGTTATGGATGTGTACAGAACAGATGTTCCTGGAATACAAGCTCCGGAAAACTTGGCAGCTGCTGGAAAGGAGAGACTCAGGTGAGTGCCTGCGTTTCCCTCAGCCAGGAGGAGTTTAGGACCAGCTGGTGCTCATGTACTCTTGTGACGTTTTGTTGTTTTCATAAGTGTACAGGACATACAGTTGTGTTACCAACCCACTTTAGCTTTTTGACATCCATTCCTAATGTGCATGACTAAAAGCCCTTATCCTAATTAGTAAGGGCAGGCGATACGGCAAAAATATAATATGATACTTGAAGACAGATTTCATAATGAACAATTTGCATCACAATATTTAGTTTTTCTGAGGTTTAACAAGTTTGATAAGAGCCACACTTAAAAAATACTGTCAAAACCTGAGTTCAGTCATTTTTATTCAGTGTTTTATACATTCTAAAGCTAATTATGCTTTCTGTGTAGTGAAACATGCAGCTGTTTTTTATAAAAATTCTCAGTATCCATTACATGCTCAGAAAAGCTGATTGTGACCTATTTCATCACAATAATGATAAAATATGATTATTTTGCCCACCTTTACCAATCACCAACCCTACCATTCTGGGTCAATTGACACCACATTTAATCACCACAATCTGATTGGTTATAAAGCATTTCTTCACCATAGCTGTATTATTATATTATTGTTATAATAGTATTATATTATTATGCCTGTCAGCAGTTGCTAAGTAACATGTGTATTGACATACTGAATAAAATTACTGAATGGTGAGTGACATACTGAGTAGTCAGTTTACTCTAAGCTGCAGTTAACTGTTAAACATACTTTAAGAAATTTAAAATTTGGAGACCACTCTGGTGGAAATATGTAACTGCACGCAACATGTGGAAGAGCATTTTGTAATGTGGGTTGTGTTTTGGACCCCTTCCCATATCTGATGATTGCGAGCCCATTGAAAGAGATTTCAAAGAGAACTCAGACAAAACTTGGTGAGAGACGTGTCTTCCGAAGATGCGAGTGAATTGTCAACAAGTTTTCATCAGTAAACTGCTGATTTTGAGATAATTTGAGACCTAAACATCATGGTGAACCTTTTTTTTTAATCTGGGTGTGTGACATACACAAAAACATATGACGTGGTGTGACCCGACACCTCTGACTTTGAAATTATTACTTCAGGCTTTACAGGGCGACTCGCAGCAGAGCATGCTCATTATATTTTAGTCTGTTTTTATTCTCCTCACTCAGTAATAATACATCTTTCAATTTTAATAAAAAAAAAAAAACATACACAGTGAAGTTTTTAATATGGCATTTTCCTGCAAATTGTAGCACAAAATTTATTTGTTTATTTGTTTATTTTTTTTTCCTGAGTTTAGCATATTGGGAAAAAAAACGTAAAATACAAAGTACCATAACTTTTGCACTGGCCACATTTGATTCATTTTTCCAAATGTGTTACATTCAGCAAATAAACAATAGCTATTTATTAAAATGTGCAGAAGTGTGTTCTCTGTAGAGGATGTGTTAACATTTAGTTTGATTTGTGATTTTACAGCTTTTTTGCTGAAAAAAAAACTCCTCCTAAAGGACTTCTCTGAATTTGGAAGCTGAAGCGCCCCTTTTTGCTCCTGCAGCCTTTTTTAGACAACCGAATTGCCTAAATTTAACCACAGGAACCATTTCTAGCCACCTACAGCAAAAACTGCAAAACAGTTATGACAATCAATCAAAACAGTATAAAGAAAAGACAAGAATTTGCTACGTTATTAAATACCTCGGACGGCAGAATTTACTGCTCCGTCCATGTTTATCAAACTGAAGCGGTGGAGCTCTCAGCAGTTGAACAGTATTCAGTATGATATTGCCTTTGTCTTGAAGTATACATGCAACATTGCCTTCAAATTATGTCAAAATAAGACACCTTTGAAGACAGCTGACTTACGCTACAGTGTACAGTGTACAGATGCTGTGTTAAAATGCTGCCTACTTAGACAGCTGCCTCCAGAATGGACTGTATCAGTGCTAAAACAATTTAATTTGTGCTACAACACTTGCAGCTTTTATAGAACCAGCACTACATGCCTAACATTTATGTACAGCTCTGTATGATACATTTACAGCACATTGTTGCTCTCCCTCTCATGTTCTATCGCTTAAACATAGCAGATTATAACCAGTCATTTTACTCTTCAACACAAATTGTTGATATAGCAACCTCTGCCCCCCCCCCAACCCTAGAGGAATATGATAAGACTCTTTTTGAGCTGCTGTCCAATTCTAGTCCAGCCTGACCTTTGCTGGCTTGTCCAATTACAGCCTTTCCTTTGCCTGATGACTCAGTGCTCAGTGGATCCTCTGCTTTCTGAACGTTATGAGTCATGTGTAATTACATCTCTGTGGCCTGTCCATCTGAGGGTCTGTTATGTTCTGTTCTGAGCTGAAGGACAACAGCATGTGTCCCCATCCATGTTTCAGCCACTGCAAAAAGATTCCAATGTCTCATAGTGGAATTCCACAGATCTTTTATACAGTGATGATGATTGAGTAGCTGAGATGTAAACAGTCATTCAGAGTGGTTTGATGTGAAATGATTCATTGTAGAGTGATGTATCGACTGATTTCTTCATAGTGATGGTGATAGGAAGCAGGAGTTGTGCTGTCAACAATGCAGATATTGCCATTTTATTTGCTCTCCAAAACCACCAGTGAACCTTCACGTCTTTTGAGTATTTTTATTTTATATGTGGATAATAGTGAGCATATTCAGCTCCGGAGTAGCACAGCCATGTATGACCAGGAGTCCAGGAGAGCACAATTGGCCTCGCTCTCTGGGTGGGTAGGATGCCCCTCTGTCTCCCCACATCACCTTGCACGATGCTGGCGAGCACAGGCGTCTGTTAGCTGACATAACAGAACTGGTGGTTGGCACTTTTCTCCCAGCACGTTCAGCTGTCTAATGACACTGCATTAGCGGCAGTTTGAAAAGATGCAGTGGCGCTTTACAGGTCTTGGAGGCTTTCGCCCTCGAAAGTGCTGGTGGTATTGTGTGATTGGGGGAGTCCTAACTTGTGGGTGGAATTGGATATGTATTGGGGAGAAAATTAGGAAAAAAAACATATTCTAGACCAAAAATGAACTTGAAAAAATCATAAAACAATGTTTCACACATCATGCAGTGTATTCACAACCATTATATGTAATAACTTTCTGTAAGGGGGCTTTTAGAGGCATTAAACTCTTCAGACATCTGGTTCCTATCACCATCACTGTGAAAAACCTGTCTCTGGTAAGTTTCTCCAATACGATGCATATCACATCAAACCACTCTGATTGACTTTATGTTGTGCCGTCGGCGCAGAAGAAGAAGACGTGGGAAACATAGCACTTCAAACGAATGCTCTTTTATTGAACATAGCAACATGGGAGAAAGCCTTGAGGTCAGTAACAGCCACACATCCCACAATGACAGTAGATACTGACTTCCACACAAACCACCACAAGCCCAGCACAGTCTGGCACAACAAAGCATAACTAACACTGCTGCACCTATATTGTCAGTATATTTTCAGTGTACTTACAGTTTAAATTCTTCTTACTGCAAATCCGGATCATCCACGATGATCTGTGTCCGTGGCCAGTAGCGGAATGCTACAATATCTTAACAGTTTAATTATGGAGAAATTTTGCAGAAACTGTGGAATTCCCCTTTTACAGAAGAAAAAATTATAATCATTTGCAGATATCTGATATTTGTCTCTCATTAAATTAAATATCTAACATTTTGCTTGCAATAATACACTTGCAGGTTGGTACATGAAATTATCTCACCTTTACTGAAAAGTAATTTTGCTTTGTCGTTTCAGAAGTAATATTTCTAAGACATTATTTGCCATGTTAGGTGAACGGTTCAGAGGGTGGGCGAACAATATGGTCCAGAAATGACCACTAATAGGTTGATAGGTTGCTGCTACGTAGTGCATATGTATAATCATAAAAAGGCATCAAAGATTTGTTCACCATTTGAAAACACATTTTCAAGTGTAAATACTTGAGATTATATATATATATATATATATATATATATACACTTACAGAACTGTATTTTGTAGAGAGCTTGTTTATGTTTAGTGGTATCTGTGCAGCAGTAATGCAGTAAAGAAAGATGATTAGAAGATAATGAATATGTATGGATTGAGTGATAGATAGACAGATTGATTAATGATTAATGGAGTGACTGATTTGATTTGATTGGTTTGTTAGTTGATCAATCGATTGTGTTTGTGTTGCACAGAGGGGGAGTCCCAGACAGACAGCAGACCTACCAGCCCAGCTGAAGCAAAGCCTGAGCCAGTCCACTCTGCTTGAGCCAAGACTACCACCAGGGGGCACCACAGCCTCACTTTGCACTAGTGCAGACGCAGAATGATTTACAAGTAAAATTACAGAGATGCATCATTTAAACGTGCTGCTTTAAAGCAGAGTTGTAATGGTCATTGTAATCACTTATAATGCTGTATTATTACAAAGCAACGATTCCATGCTGGGAGTGGCAAAAAACAAAAAATCCATCTGCATCCACAAGGCATGTGCAAATTAAATCCCAGAAAAAAGAAATTCTGAGGACCCCATCTTAACAAAAAAGTATAAAAAGCCTTTATTGAAACATGGCAATATGTATGAAAATCTGCCGACGCGTTGCTGCCTGAAAAATAGCATGTCAATACATTTTTGCTGTTTTAATCACATTTCCTGAGTATTAGTTCCTTTAAGAGGTTCAGCAATGTTTTTGTGTTGTAAAATTAAATGTAAACTACAAAATGTAAACGTCTGATTCTATTTTACCACTAAGGGCCTTAAGTTACACAATTTTGGGACAGTCTACCTCATAACTTATGAAATTTAAACAGACCTGTAGTATTTAAGCCACAAAAGGTTTCATTTTTCTTATCCACTGGAAAAAATACTAAAACATTTCTGTGCAAAAGGCATCATTTGTTTAATTTTTAGTCAAAATAGCCGTTGAGTACAACTTATTCGTTTTTCATAGTCAAAGAAAAAACAGGAAACATTTATCAGAAAATGACAGGAATCTCTAAGTTGTTTTATTTTTCTTTTCCACTGAAAAAAAATATAACATTTCTGTGCAAAAGTCATTTGTTCAATTTCAAATCAAAATAGCCAGTGAGTACACGTTTTTCATTTTAAAAGTCAGAAAACACATTTATCTGGAAATTACACACAAATCTCAACAGCTCAATATAATATTATTTTTTCCGTATTTGGTGTGTCCACCCCTGAAAAGAATGGAAGTTGTAATAAAGTTAAAGAGTGGGCTCTGGGGTGGTCAGTCCATTGTTCAGCTTCTTTGTTTGATGTGTCCGTCTCCTTTTCTCAGTGAGGTTCTTCTTGACAGCTACACATCCTTTCAGACCCACAGCGCTGAGTCGTCTTCTCACAGTGGAAGGATGGACAGAAACACCTGTGGATGTTTTCAGATCTGAAGCAGCTTGATTTTCTCCTCTCTCTCAAAGTTGAAAGCTTTAAGTGCTGTTTATCTGATGGGGGCAGTTTTGGTGTCTACCAGCAGTCCCCTTTTTCCTTATATCTTTTTTTGAATTTAAGAAATTATTTTCTTTGACTTTCCTCTTAATTATTGAAGTCGGCCTTCTCATATCGAATTTCCTCCATATATATAATTAACTTTATGGCTATTTTGACTGAAAATTAAATAAATGAAGGGTCTCTGACTTTTGCACAGTACTTTACATTTTTAGCAGTGAAGTCTGTCTGAACTGTGATATCCTGCATCATTACATATCATCTTCTCTCCTCAGAAGAAAGCTTGGAAAGACAGCAGGTAGCCGTCATTATACATGTAGAGCTTCATGTCGGTGGGGTTGTAGTGGAGGTTGGCAATGCCGGCTGAAACCTTCTCCAGCGGCAGGGACAGCGTGTTGTCCTCCAGCCCCGTGGCCGTGTCGAAGGCGTAGAACACCTCCTCTTTGTATTGGTCGACGTAGCGTGTGGCGTACAGCACCCCGCACACCATGAAGGCGTTGGTGACTGAGCGTTTGAACAGCCTGGTCTTCCAGGTCTGCGTCACGTTGAAGCCTGCCCTGTTCACTCGGCTCAGAACCATGTTACCGTAGTTGCTCTCTGTGGCAAACATCACCCACAGGCCCTCGCTGTCGGCCGCTAGGTCGATGTCGGTCCAGTCGCGGCATTCGTAGTAGCAATATGGGAACTTGTTGTTGACTCCGGCTTCAGGCAGTTTCAAGCGCTGGTTCTTTTTGGTCTGCAGGTTGTAGCTGCATAGCTTAGCCGCAGTGTAGCACTGATAGTACACAACACCATCGTACATTATGGTAGCTGGGCCCTGAATCGCGTCATTGTGAGTGTAGGAGGATGCAACATACTCGTCACGGTGATTTCTGCCGGCCATGAAGTCCTCAAAAGATGGGTAGTAACGGATTTGGTTGCCAAACCTGTGGCTCTTGACCAAAGGCTGGACCCAATACCTTTCCTCACTGCCGGCGCTGGTGTCACGGCCCCAGGCACCCGAGGGGTAGGACTTGCCAAACGGACTCAGCTTGGTGATCAGTGGGGAGCTGATGTTGCTCATGATACGATGAGAACAGGAACCTGCAAGACCGAGATCACATCTTAGGACAGTTTACTGTGACTTCTGGAAACCACTTGGTCTCGTTCTTCCAGGGTAGATACTTCCTAAACTTTGACTGATACTGCACAAGTGCCAGGGAGTCAGGCTTAGCCTTACAAGTTGAAGCTTCAAGAATTTGTGTAGACTCATGAAAAAATACTCTCCACTCACCTGTTTTATGCCAAAAGTTTTGTGCCACTCTCATTTTGTTATCCCAGCATTTTAAAAGAGACCAATTCTTTTAACCCTCCTAGGTCCCCATAGCGACTATATCTTGAAATGTGTTTTATTTTATTTTTTTTCAATTAACACCCAATAGTGAGACTGTGTATTCCAGTGAATAATAACTTCTTCTCTCAGATGAAGAGGAAAACATGAGTACCTTTACTCGTGAAGTCTGCAGGAATGGTCCTGCAGGTCTGCACACGGTTATTGAGGAAGCGCAGCTTCTCCTTCACTGCCTCTAAGTTGAAGGTATTGTCTGTGTACATCTTCTCCACATCCTTCTGAATCTTCTGCAACTGAAGCACAAATTTACAGTGGATGTAATTATGTATCTCCCACAGTTAACATAATGCACATAAATGACCTCCAAAGTCCATTGTGTGTGTACACACAAGACACAGGTGTGATGAGATATAGCAAATACCCAAATGGTGATTTCAGTATTTGAATACTGGCACCTTGAGCGGTGAAGCGAGTACTCGAGCACCTGTGCACATCCCTAACCACCACATCCACTCCTGCTGTTCCTGTGTGTGGAGGCAGAAATGTGTCTGTACCTCTGTACGTAGTTTCTGAGTTTCGGCGCTGGGCCTGTCCCTGTGTGTGTCACTGATGATCTGATGAAGGTCCTGGAGCTCATTGCTGAGCTGGCGCAGGTGCAGAGCGTTGTACAGGCCCTGTGTGTCCAGGTACTTGAAGCGCTGTAGACGTGCCGTCACGTTCTTCAGTGTGACCTGCATCTTAGGCAGCTCTTTATTGGTCATCGTCACCTGCCAGTAAGAGTAAACACCATCCAGCATTTATTATGATTTATTAGTGATGTTTTAAATTTGCTTCAGAGCGAGATTTAATTTGGCTGTAGTAAGTGTGATGTCGCCTAAGGTTCTGTTGTTGGTGAGCGTAGTCATACATACATTTTGGCCGAAATGGAGTTTATTAGTTTTGGAATTTACGCAGTGTGAATTGCTTGTGTTAAGAGTTTGTGAGTATGATTTACCTGTGTTTGGAGTTTATGCACATGAATTGCCTGCGTTTAGATTGTATGCAGTGTGTATGACCTGTGTTTGGGGTTTATGCAGTGTGAATTACCTGGTTTGGGAGTTTGTGCTGTGTGAATTACCCTTGTTTAGGGTTTATATATTGTGTTTTATTTGTGTTGGGAGTTTATCCAGTGTGTATTACCTGTGTTTGCAGTTAGTACAGTGTGCATTATCTGTGCTTAAAGTTCACACAGTGTGAATTACCTTTGTTTGGAGTTCTTGCAGTGAGGCTCTACAGCCCTCTAGCAGGTCTGAGACTGCCTCATATTTAGCGGTAGGAAAAGCCCAGATGGCGCTGTTCACCTCACACACACATGAGCCGTCTTTCTCCTCTCCCTGAACCCTCTGAGCGTGGCCTGCCTGCTGTAAACACACACAAACACAAAATCAATAAGGAACAAGGAGGATATAATTATTTTACTAGAATATTGCTAAAGATTTTAAACCAAATGTGGTAAATTTCAAATTTGGCATATCATCACTGTCAGAACAGAACCTTTCATCTCTTGGAGCATTTCTACTGGTCTGTTCATCATGGAATTTTGACACAATGTAAATGGAAGCAAATGAAGATACAGCATTTTGTTCCCACAGTGATATACTTGTTAACCCCGTAAATGGCCAGGGCCCCCGGGAGCCCTTAAGTTATTTTACACACTGCTATAACCTGAGAATAGCTCAGCCAGTTTGCATTGAAGTCCCTGTAGTTACTGAATAATAAGCCTTATTAAGTATGTAATTAGTGTAATAAGCCTGCGATTTTAAGGAGTTAATTAAAAATATTGACTTGATTCAAATGTATAACATACATAATTTTCATAAGAGTAAAACATTTACCAAAAGCAAGAAAACCAAAAACATTTTGCTGACATATTTTATTCATGGGGAAAAATTCTATATATTACTGTTTTCAGTGTTTGAGGTATCAAACAGCACAAATTTCTATTTAAAATTCAATAAGATTATAAAATCATACACTGCAGTTTTAACCTAAAACAGAATATTAAGTCTTGCAACCAACAAAACTGCATTGTATAATAATTTTTAATTAAGTTTATTTTATAATAACGAAAAGAGAATAAGAGCATGGATGAAACACATCAGTACTTACAGTGGCAGTGAGAAGCAACACCAACAGGATCATTGTCAATCAATGAGTGACCACCAGCTTCAGCAACACCATTTATAAACACTCTCTCTCTCATACACACACACACACACACACACACACACACAACACAACACACACACACACACGCACATGGAGATGTTTTTTTCTCTGATAAGGGCGTAAAATTTTTACATGGAAGTTGTGTGTTGTGAAATCATCATCAGAAAATTTCATCGCATTTCTTAACACATCTCTTAAATAATAAATTAATGCAGACAAAGCAACAGTCATGCAGAATGTGCACTTGCACACTTGCATAAGTTTCTATGATACATATTTTAGTTTAGTTTGAGTTTTAGTTATTTTAGTTTGCACAACTTAAAATACACACGAATAGACTAAGATAACATACTCAGGGAGAGCCCTAAAACCTAGTAGCCTCCACCTAAATAACAATAAAATTACACAGTATAATGAAAAATACAAAATAATATACAACATAATAATGACATAAAGCAAACCTCAAATAAAATGTTAGCATCAACATAACACGTTCACTAAAAACATTTAAATGTGTAAGCATATATATGCATTGTGTATGTGCACTAGAGCGTCCG